GTTCCTAGTAGCGATGCCCTTTGTTCCTAGTAGCGTCCTTGCTCCTAGTAGTAAGGACAGGAGCCCCTAGTAGCTTCTTGTTCCTAGTAACGATGCCAATTGTTCCTAGTAGCGTTTTTGCTCCTAGTAGTAAGGACAGGAGCCCCTAGTAGCTTCTTGTTCCTAGTAGCGATGCCAATTGTTCCTAGTAGCGTCCTTGCTCCTAGTAGTAAGGACAGGAGCCCCTAGTAGCTTCTTGTTCCTAGTAGCGATCCCTTTGTTCCTTCTGTCTATCTCTGTCTCTCTGTGGGCACGACGCAACGGCTACTTCGGCGCCCACTGATCCCTGCAACATCGCTTCGAATGCAAAGAACAATATATATATATATATATTGTTTCTACGAGCTTCTTGTTTCTAATAGCTTCTTGTTTCTACTAGTAAGGCACTTGTTACTAGTAGCGATGCGCTTGTTCCTAGTAGCTTCTTGTGAGCTAGAAAGCATCAGAAAAGATGTCTGCATGGCCAAGAGCAACCTCCTCGGCCAAAATGGCAACCCAAAGATCCATGAGAACGCCGAGCCTCAGAGTGGTTGGGCCCTCCGTGGCGGAGTCTGTGTCATCAGAGTTGAGTTCATGTTCATGTCTCCGTTCCAATCAGACTGGGCCCAAAACAGCGCTGTGGCGATCACACCTCGATTCAGCGATATAGCGATGGACGTTTCATCTCCCTCCTGACCTAATTTCGCCCCCCGCGACTTCGAAGCTCCACGACTTCGGCGCCAAGGTTTTCGTGGGGCAGCTTACGTTTGGAGCGTTGGAATCGACACGCTGAAGTTTGGAGCGTACATGAAAAACACTTTGAAATCGCAAACGCTTGTGAAGCATCCGGCAGTCTAAGCGTGAAAAAGGGGAAAAGGAAGACTTTACCATCAGCTGAAGTACAATGGGGCGCCAGTAGCGGTCAATTTCTCACTGCGTAATCTCAAACATTGCGAGACAAGCGTTTTGCACCTCAAGGCCAAATTGGACCCCACTTGCACACGACTGGAGTTCCGGAGTTCCGGGAGCAGTAATTGTACTATCCTGTACAAAAAAAATCCATCCACTTCAATCCACTGGGTGGACCTGTGCAACAGAGGTCAGTCTTCTTTCATCTTGCGCCGCGCCTGTCAATTATTGCACCACAAGGCTGAGGCCTCTGCCACCAACCATCAGGATGAACTCCCGGTGGTTCAGCAGGCCTGGCACGTCCAGCCCTGCAAAAAAGAGCGAAGCTCCCGCGCGATCGGAAGGAGACTGAGGTTGGCGCCGATGACGTTGTTCACCCATTTGCCTGGGACCAACTTGATTCACGACGAAGTCGAACAACAGACTAAAGATTTTCTTCTATTTGAAGCCAGGAGGCAGTAATGGTCATAGCGGCGAATTGGACGGTAATACAGAAACGACCTGATGTTGGACAGGATCACCCGCAAAGTGAAATAGGCGGTACAGCACAGTCTCAGGCTGACAAAGCAACCCAAGCAAACAAACCAAACACGGATAAACACGGCGCATCCATGTCATAAATTGCGTATTTGCTCAGACATCTTAGCAAAAGACTTGTAGGCACGTTGCGGCAAGCCCTGTCGCAAGCATGTAAGCTCCAATCCAATGCTCTTCCATCCGAGATACGATGTCGTGACGTTTTAACTGCGCCTCTTCGATGAATTTCGATGTCGTGGCCATTGCGCGTCTGCAACTGACGTTCGGCATGGATACAGTACCTCGCGTTGGCGAAAAAAGCGACGTGAGCTTCGCGCTTCGCACGCATTGCTTCGCGAGGTGGGCACATCACGCAGCCCAGAGTGATGAAAAACAAGACACCCAAGGTCGTGTAGAATGAGAAACACACAGATTGCTCCCGCCACCTCGATTGCGAAATGCAAACATAAAGGACTTCAGGATGGCACAGTCGCCAGAACCTTGACTTATAAGTGGCAACTGCATTCAGAACTGTTTGGCTCAACGGGTCTGACTACACTCGTACGAAGATTTGGGCACAGGGCCGTTGGAAGACACGGCTTCCAGTCGATGCCGCAATAGACATATTCCATTTTCCTTGGGAAGCTTGCCATAACATATTTTGCGCACAAACGAGACAACATATGGAATTGGGCACCCAGACTTGTCCTCGGCAACCGACTCGTCGTCAGGCTCAACTTCTTCCTACGCCCCAACGCATTACAAGTAAATCTTCCTGAGACAACATGACCCAACTGGTTGGTCTTCAAGCCACCGCGCCCAAAGTCACAGTCGTGCCCTTCAATCATGCATTTTTAAAAGTCTAGTGGCAAATTCTGCAAAGAAACACTAGTCACTAGTCTTTCACATACAATTTTTCTCATACGCGGCGCCTCCTTAGCTTGTGTGGAGACAGCTGTCCTCGGCATATTGTTCAATAATCCGTATCAAATCCAAGGGAGGATACTCTGCTCTGAGCAAGCGGCACAGCTGTCAAAGTTTGGTTGACGGGTGAGGCATCATTCCTGTGGTTTGCGCTCACTCATGATCCACTTGGTTGGTGCACAAACAAGCTGAAGCTGTCTGTCATGGCAGGTGCCACTAGTTGCATCATATGTTGGTACCTTCGCGGGAAAAACAAGCAGCAAACAAAGCATACTGCAAAATTGTGTCATCAATATGTTTCTCTGTTACACAACCAAAAACATCAGATCTTGGAGCGGCACGGTGGACCATGGTCCCCCATATACACAGGCAGCATGTGGAAAATGCAGCAAATGCACAACCTAGATTATGTGTTTGAGCCTTCCAGGTGTGCTGAGGATTCAGTCTTTTCGATCCGGCTGGGTTCAAGCAACATGATTGAACACGTGTCTCAAAGCTGCGTACAGACTTTTCGTCTGGCTCACCTTCTTCCTTGAGACATGACCCAACTGGTTGGTCTTCAAGTCATTGTGCCCAAAGTCACAGTCGCGCCCTTCAATCATGCATTTTTAAAGGTCTAGTGGCAAACTCTGCAAAGAGACACCAGTCACGCCCGGGACAGCTTTCTCCCCAAAAGCAAAGGAATCTGCTTTTGGTGACAAAGCTGTCCTGGCATGTTGTTCAATAATCCGTATCAAATCCAAGGGAGGAGACTTCAAAACATGGATGCTGGAACGAAAGCCGTCTTCATCCCTGCTAGCAAGCAGCACATTGAGCAAGGCACAAGGCGCCTTCCTCGACCCCCCCAGGTAACAGATCCCTTACCGCTTGCGACGTTCAGTTAGGCCTCAATATCTGACCGTGCCAAGCCAGGTCGAGATCTTCGGGCGAAGCGCGAAGCGAACCTACAGGACTCGTTCGACTGAGCTTCTTGTGTTCTCCTCGTTTTGAGAGGGACTTGCGCCCCAGTAGTACGGCTACTTGCTCATTGTTTTGGGGAGTAGAGTAGAGGGACTTCAACAGGTCTTTTGCAGCATCTCTAGCCCTTCTTGTGCACGTGGCTCCCGTCCACCTCCTCCGTCTGATGTGCCAGCGAGGCAGACCCTGCCCGTTCTAAAAAGGTCTGCTTTGGTTCTTCCGTTTGGCCGTGTAAAATTTTAGTTTTCTTTTTGTTACTAGGAGTAAGGCACTTGTTACTAGAAGCGATGCACTTGTTCCTAGTAGCGATGCCCTCGTTATTAGAAGCACACATTATGAACCATGTCGTTTTTTTCGCCTTTGGTTTTTACCCGGCTTTCCTCGCCCGGATGAGGCTAGTGGGGGGGGTCCTTGTCTCGGGTGGCGTAGGGCCCGTTCGGAGTCGAGTAGCTGTTGACTTTGTTTCTGTCCACGAAAAACATGTATATGACAAAGTTAGAACATTTGTTTTCTTTTTTTTTTCGAAAATTTCGAGTTTCGTGGAGCTCCGAAGAAGCATGAACTCTCCGTCCTAATCGCGTGTTTACTCCTCTCCTTACTTCTCCCTTCTTTCATTATGAGGTCGTCTCTACTAAGTAAGGAATTACTTCTTGTTTCTACTAGCTTCTTGTTACTAGTAGTAAGGCACTTGTTACTAGTAGTAAGGAACTTGTTGCTACTAGTAAGGCACTTGGCACCCGATCTTTCGTAGAAACTGTGCTCTTTCGTTCTAGTTCTGTTCCCCTCGATGGCGACGCTTTCTTTTGCGCGATCAGTGTCAGCACAAGTAAGTCTGCGCGAAGATCACCACAAACACCATGCTTGCCTGGCGCCGGCCATGTTGCTGCATAGGTCGGTCCATGCAAACTGAGCATGGCACAATCGGTATGGAAGCTGCTCCCGTGATTGGGTCAATCCGATCTTCCTGAGATCACATCCCTCTTCCCGTCTACTTTTAGTTCATTGTAAATAAGAGCAATGGCCTCCAACCTACTAGCTCTTTTTAAAAGGGATATGTTCCTTTTTGTTTTTTTCCGTTGTTCCTTTTTCTCGTGCCATGCAACGGAAACCGTTTGCTTTCGTGATTTGGTTTCGAAGGGCGAAAGTCAGCGGAGCCAACGGCTTCGCTTTTTTAACGCTTCTTGAGTTCGTCAGAAAAACAATTACTTAGACAGTAGATTGTCTCTTAAACATATTAGGTACAAGAAATAATCAATTCGAATACATAAAAATCATAAAGTTCTTTGATGAGGAAAGGATTTTGTTTCGCTTCGCTCTGGGACTCGGACAATTTGAAGCACCCAATAGTTCACTGAGAGCTCTAGGCCGTGACGATTTTGGATCTTTGCGACGACCTCGAAGCGAGAAAGAGGAAGAAGAAAACAATTTGTACTACATATTATTACATACCTGAGAGGGGAGGGGACGAAAGCCAGCCTCTGGCTTAGGGGGTGCTCTCAGGGTAGGCTCGGGCAACGACGTGGCGTGCAAGAGGAAGTGATGGGGCACCATCGGGGAAAGAGAAAGTTCGTGGTGGGAAGTTGACATCGCAGCCACAGAGAAATGGACAGTAGAAGATATAGGTCTGGGGGGGGCGCCCTTTTCTGTCCTTGTTTAGGGGGAATTTTGAAATGAAAAAGGGCATCCCTCAGGAAGTGAAGCGCCTTTGCCGGCGGCGTGTTGCGAACCAGGGAGCAGAGACGGTGACCGGGGTGCACGTGCGAGGCAAGGGGTAGGGTAGGTGAGGAGGTCCCCGTATGTAGACATTAGTGTGCAAGGTAGAGTGGAAAAAGAGCAGCAGGAAGTGGTGAGGTGGATATGGGAGCGACGTGCGGGTGGAAGATGAAGTGCTAGGCTAACATTATGTAAAGAGTACGTGTATGGAGTGAAGTTGGCATCGCCGGGCGTGATAGGAGGCAGAAACAGACGGTAGAAGTAAAAAGGAGGGGTGCTCTTTTTCGTTCTGAAAAAGGGCACCCCTCAAACTCATCAAATATATTATATGAGTTTGCTTGCTGCGTGTTGCTAATCAGTGAGCAAAGATGGTTGTGGGAAGCCTCTGGGCGAGGCTATCGGCAGGCTTTCGTGAGGATACATATATATGTATTTAGGTAGAGTGGACAAAGAGGAGCCGGAAGTGGTGAAGTGGATATGGCCGTCATTCGAGACAGAGTGGAAATAGACAGTAGAATACATAGGTTTGGGACGGGGTGCCCTTTTTCGTCTTGATGTTGGGGCGTTGTGGAGGCACCCCTGCAGTCCGGGGAAGGTTTGGTATGGTGTGCGGTCTATGTTTCAAGTGAGTTGACGGCTGGCTTTCGTGATAAAATGTATTTGTTTACCGTAGTCGGGCCGGGAAGTTTGAATAGGTGGTATGATTCGAGGGTATGATTCGGGGTATGATTCGGGGGTATGATTCGAGGGTATGATTCGCAGATGATTCGCAGCTTTGAAGTTGTATTGTTGGATTAGCTGGACTTCCAGCAGTGGGCCCACTCTGCGCCGAGGCAGTAGGCAAGCAGCATCTGTTGGATGCTGGGCAGACTAGGCAAATGCACTCTTCCACCAAAGACTCCAGTGGCCCTTTGCAGGCCCCACCAAAGCAACCAGGATGTGGGATGGGTGGGAGACTGTGTGGAGGTGCGTGATTCGGGTATGAATCGGGCATGAATCGGGTGTGATTCGTATGGCCATTAGATTCTGCAAAAGAAGGTGGTCCTTTGGCTCTTCTTCTCAAGGGAAAGCACATGGGAACATTATGAGTACCCCTGGGATGTGAGCCTTTGCTCGTCCCACAAGAAGACACAAACAATTTTGGCCAAATTGAGTGCCCATGGATCACACAATTGCAAACGGGGTGGAGGGGTATGATTCGGGGGTATGATTCGAGGTATGATTCGAGGGTATGAATCGCTCAAGTCGAACTTCCAACCACTACATCAGGAAGTACACGCCAAAAAAATACAAACCCAATGGGGACCAACTAGACCTTGCCACGGATAAAAAAGGGCAACTCAAAGCCTTCCGCCTCCAACGCTTGCCCGCAGCTGCAATCTGTTCTCTTTCCTGCTTTGACTCAATATACGGTGACTTCTAACCAGCTTTTCACGTCCCCTTGTCTTCCCTTTCCTCTCATCGACGTGAACTCGCACCCCTAGTAAAAACAGCTTACATGGCCTCCTGAGCCCTTCATCATGCTGAACTGGCCGTCAATAACATCATCGGCATCACAACACCCCAAAAACAACTCATTTTCACTACCAAGTGGCCCGCCTCTTTTTGTCGCTCTCCGGCACCAGTCTCTGGGTTCACCTCTGCGGAAGTGACCACCCACGCAACCCCCCCCACACCCCCTTTACTCACTTCGTTCGCTCCAGAAACTCAAGCCTAGCCTACCGGCTGGCTTTCGTGATTATTACTATCTTTTTAAAGGGGGGTAGGCCGCTAGTAGAGGTGAGGCCGCTAGCTAGTAGAAGGAAGGTCAGTAGCTACTAGCTAATAGTAAGCTACTACCTACCGGACGCTTCTTCAAGGAAGCTCCCCCATCGCCCTGGAGGCGGCGGGGGGGAGCTTCCTTGAAGAAGCGCTCGCACTATTCATGTGGTTACTAGTAGCTTCTTGTTCCTAGCAATAAGGCCAGGAGCTACTAGTGGCGT